GGAGGTGGAGTTGTGGATGTTCAAATTTTTTCTAAGTGCTGTGTGAAATGCAAGAGAGGTAGACTCACCAATACGCAACCTTTCTCCAGAGTTACAACACATTTAAAAAGTTACAACACCAGTAATCCTGAAGTGATACAGATACCAACAGAGTACTTCACGTGATACCCATAATGCTTCAGATCTGGGGAAAAATCTACAGGTTAGTTAATGTGACCACAATCAGTCATATATCACTACATGTTTTGGGGGTATCATAAGTAATGCTCTGTATTTATGTGTCTGCAGCACACACACACACACACACACACACACACACACACACACACACACACGTCAGTCCAGACGGAGAGGATGACATCATGTTTCTGCAGGTTTACATGACGAAGTCTTCACCTCCTCCGTGTTCATCACGTCCCCGACTTCTCAGCTCAGAGGGCGAGTGGACACATGAGAGAGGGACACAGACAGACAGACAGACAGACAGACAGACAGACGGAGACACAGGGTGCAGTCTGTCTGTCTGTCTCCAACTGAATCCTGTCGACTCTCACCCAGAGTCAGACAGCTGAAACACTCTGAGATTGTGTGTGTGTGTGTGTGGGAGCGACAGAGCGTGACAGACAGACAGTGTGTATGTCAGTGTGTAGTCTTCAGCCACCTGATGCTGCTGACACATTTTCATGCGGAGAAACAAACAATCAGGCGAAAAACTCTGACTATCGATCTGTGACTCTGTGATCTGAGCGTCCGACCTGGACAGGTGGAATTAGGAACAATCCCCTCCCCACACGGGAGCCAATCACTGACCACCGTCCACTGCATCAGGAAGTCCAACAGCATTAAATGTGTGACAGAAGAAGAAGCCGGTAACAACGTGGAGAAATCTACATCCAGAGCCGTGACTTCTGATTGGTTGTTTGACATCACACAGCTCAGTGTTAAATCTCTAACTGTACTCAGCACACACAGAAAGCCCAGGTGCTCATGGGAAAAAACTACATCAACACTGGTGAACACTGAACACAATGATTAACTGCGTTCTGTCTGATGTTTCTGGATGAATATTCCTGCTGCATTAATGTGTCATTTAACTCCTTTATATCCTGTTGGGTAGTTTAATCTACAGCAATGCATCATGGTCTATAAGATCATCATGTGTTTGTAGCGTGGCTGTCCTGTGAGAACCACGTATCTCTAGAAAGTCAGAAAAACAGCTTGTTTTCAGCTTCGTGACGACGACTGTTCAGCTGATCCAGGAGGGTTTTAAAGAGTTTATTTAGCCTCATACAGATGTGATCACCTCAGTCATCATTATCATGACCCACCCAGAGACTCCGCCCTCTGCTTGAATCTTTCTTATTGTCTTTTATTTTCTGTGTTCAGAGCAATTGTGGGGAGTACCACCAGTTGGTCCAGGAGCTTCTCCTCCATCATGGACGTTTACAGGCATATTTTAGGATGACTCAGGGGCAGTTTGACAACCTGCTGTCTATCATCAGGCCGTATAGCTCTGGGTATCCAGCAACCACTACCACCAGTTTCTCCTCCATTGTTTACCAACTGTAAACTTGTTGTCCTGACCACCACAGAAGCCCCGCCTCTCAGATCATCTCATTGGACAATGAAGAAAAAATGGAGATGATGTGAGGCGCTTTTCCTCTCTGAGTTGTTTTTCAGTTTTTTTGTATTGTAATCGTAAAGTTTTTCAACTTGAGGAGTTCAGAAAAACGCAAAAACAGCGAGCAAAAAGCTTCATTCTCACAAAAAACTGTTACCAGAAACCGCCTCCTGCTGCTGAAACACTTTCTTTAAAATGCAACTTGCAGGTTAAATTTTTTTAAAAATATATACATAACCTTGTCTGAAAATTACCATATGAGAAGTTAATTCAGAATTTATTATGGTTTACACGACATAAGGGCAAAAATTCAGAGGAGAAAGCTCCTCTTCTAAAAACGCTTTTTTTTTTTTAACAGGGCCTGATACTACGTCACGAGAGGGACTCTGCGTCCTTGACCCTGCCTCTGTCCAATGCGCAGTAGTAGGTGGTAGTGAGTCTGAGTGGTAGTAAACTTGTGAGTTAGTATTTTTTCGGTTGTTAACAGTGCATTTCACCATTTGTGATTATGCCGAATTATTGTGTTTGTGCAGGCTGCACAAACTTGAGTCTGTCAGGACATTGAGTCCACCGTTTTCCGGACAGAAAAAGGAGTGGAGTTAGTTTTCGTGCCTGGGTGCATTTTGTGCAGGTGAAGAGGCGCGATTTCACGCCTTCATCTGTGACCAAAAATGCTGTCGTGTGCAGCGCTCATTTTGGACAGGAGGATTATGTTCCTGGCGGAGCCCGCTTGCCTCGGGGGTATGTGCGGGACCCGAGCCTCGGGGGTATGTGCGGGACCCGAGCCTCGGGGGTATGTGCGGGACCCGAGCCTCGGGGGTATGTGCGAGGGCGGGCGGGCTCTGCGGAGAGGGAGGCCTCCGTGGGCTGGCAGTTCCCACACAAGCACCTATCATACAAAACATTATCAGGAAATCTTCATATCTCTCATCAATACACCGTAATGCAGAGATGTAACACGCATAGCAAGATACATCTGATACAAGCTGATATTTGCGCATTAGTTTCTGTTCTGGGTAAGTAGCATTAGTTATCTAATACTGGCAGAACTATTGGTAGCTTTGTTATAACCTAATACGTGATGGCAAACTTATTGTTGTGATGTGAACACAGCGCTAGACATCGTTAGCTGTCGTTAGCTAGCGCTGGTCGCTCACGAAGACACCTGTTCTGTGGCCGTTATTTCTCCTAACCCTGATCTGTTCCTGGGCTCTTGGACGCCCAGCAGGCTCATAATCTCTCATAGTCTCAAAACTAGTACTGGGATCCATGTTTATTAATGTTACACTCAATCGCACTCGGCCGGACTCCCTTACGCTACGTCACTTCCAGTTAGTGGGTTTTTAGATGCGGAAGCAAAATTCTCTCATAAAAACGACCCCAGAAGTCACTGTAGTGTGTATGTGGTTTTTTTTGTTTGTTTGTTTCTACATCATTTTCCTACACATTTATTCACCATGGTCTCCAACCTGCAAGCTGGGCTTTAAGTGAATGAAAAACTGTCATCTGAATAGTCACTGAAGCTTCAGACAAATGTAGAGCATTACAAAGTACAGTATTTCCCTCTGAGATATAGAGTAGAAGTATAAAGTAGAATAAAATAGAAATATTTTAGCAAAGTACAAATATCCTTGTTTATATCAGCCCTGCTGTCAGCGTGTCAGACACTGGATGTTTCACAGCTGCAGGTTTCTCAGTCTGTTATGTGGTTTTTAATTGACGTGGTGAAACCCTGACGACATCGGTCCCTGAACTCAGATCAGCTGGACGAGGATTGGTCAGTATACCTGTGTGTGTGTGTGTGTGTGTGTGTGTGTGTGTGTGTGTGTGTGTGAGAGAGAGAGAGAGAGAGAGAGAGAGAGAGAGACACTTCACAGGTCGATGCTGCCATCTAGTGACTCTCTGCAGAACCATCCTCACTCCCATAATGTCATCATGACAACTTTTTATGAACATATTAATATTATTATTAGATACTGCAGGATGAACACGGCTCCGCCCAGCTTCATCTTTACGGTGCTGCAAACATCAACACGTCCATGGAAGTGTGTGGAAACTTTTCCACCAGTTTACAACACGTTATTAGACAATCACTGGCTTCAGCTGACTGACCTTGATCATACATGAACTCCAGGGACAAACAGCAGCTGATGTAGAAATAAATAACACTAACATAACAACAGGCACAAAATACAGACATATGGTCCTTTAGGTTTTTTAACTATAGCAAAAGAGTTCCTGAAACTAGGCCAGTTTGTCCAGACTCCACACACAAAAACCAAAAACATAAACACAAAAAACATCTCTTGCAACAGTCAGCACTGCATTCATGACTATATAAACTCCTCTTAAATGATGCTTTTGCTTCCAAACTTTACAAACAAACACCAAATAAACAGATCTGTCTGGCATTTTTATTCATAGCACGCTGTAAATATGAACACAAATCTGAACTGAAGACAACATGAACATAAACAAAATAGAGTCTGTGATGTGCATCTGGCCACAGCACCTCTGTCTCCTCTGCCTTTTGCTCCTGATTCCTCTGATCTTTTATTACTGATTCCGATTTTGTAAAAATAACGTGATCGGAGCCGGTACCCGAGGATCGGATCGGGACATCCCTAGTTTCTACAATGAGGTCTCCATCTCACCATCTGTGTCACCAATTTCCCGTCTCCAAAGTGTTGCTAAGCATGTGTCAGAGTTTCTCCCATCAAGTCTGTTTTTATACATCACAGTTTTTGTGTGAAGTGGCGTACGACTCCTTCAGGCCTCGTTTTGTGTATATGTAATGTTTATAAATGAAACCAGTGATCTGTTTTTATTCATATTTTGTGTATTGTGACGTTTTTTGGTACAAACAGTTTTGCTAGCTGTGCACTTTTAACTATGTGGCACACGTCGTCACTTTGTCTTTTTGTTTTCCGTCTTGTTGTATAATGTCCCTGTGAAGCACTTTGTGACCTCTGTCTAAGAAAAGCTCTAAATACATACATTTTACTCACTTATTTTACTTTTGCTGATTTGCAGAGGTCTGGTTTATAGTCACATAATAAAATGATATTATAAAATATCCTGTTGTTTGATGTGTAACTTGGACATTATTGTTTTTGTGTATTTTCACATTTGTAAATTCACTATGTTTATAAACAGAGGAGCTCAATGGTCGTAACGCTGGTGTGCAGTGTGCAGGATTCTTTGGTCATAAGACTCTCTGACGTGCAAGAACTTTGTTGTAATTTTTATATTACTGAGAGGTAGATTCAGTTCTTCTTTCACATACAGACAGACCAGCAGCATCATGAGCGCTGCCTGTTCAGATCCGTGAGGACGAATCAGAAACCTGGAAACTAAAATAAAAAGTGGATGTACTCACAGCTCCTCTCCGTCTGTAGCTTTGGTGTCCTGAACCAGATAAACTGAACCAAAACTCCCCCGGCCCAGACTCCGCAGGACGCTGTATCGCTTAGCAACCAGACCAGCGGTGCCAGGGGGCGGGGCCTGGCCTGACTCTACCTCCTGAAACCTGGGCATCATGTCTGCTCACCTGTGGACCGAGGACAGATGATACAGCTTTTTTACAGCGGACATTTTGACTCATCGCAGTAGGAAAACTCAGGTGAAACATTGACGAAGGCTCCGTGAGCGTGCACAACACCAGGACCTGAACTAAATGGAACACAGCCATCATCATCACCAACACACCTCTGAATATACACTGAAGAAACATTTAAATGCAACACTTTTGATTTGCTCCCATTTTTCCTGCAACAAGTGACATCTGTGACGTCTCGTGATATTTCAGAGCGAGACTTCTGCTTAACGAGGCAACAACAAACAGATCGGATCAAATTAAAGGTGAGGAAACACAACAATAACAATCTGAGACGCTCTGTGGCAAAAGAAAATACGTCTAATGGACAAACGGTGATGATGTTTAGTTGCTCCATGTGCCTCCATTACAGCTCGTTGCGTGGCTGCCAGCTGCTGCCTCCTCCCTCAGTACAGTTTCAATACTTGTGTTCACATCAGTCTCTTCGACCAGTTTAAAGGGGGAACAGGGTCCAGGTTAAAAAATGCCGGAGCTGTCCTTTAAGTTAATGATCTAAAACTTTTTTCTACACTCAGCAGATTTATGTCTCTCAAATCTTGGTCACAAGTTTGTTATAATCTGTGTCAGTGAGCTCTTCTCCTTCTCTAAGATAATCCATCCACCTGACAGGTGTGTCTGATTAAGCAGCATCATCACCACACAGGTGTGTCTGAATGGTCACAATGAAAGGTCACTCTAACATGTGACGTGTGATCCATAGACACAGGTGTCACATGTTTTGAGGGAGCGTGTCAGAGTGACAGAGTCGACACGTTACGGTTGAGACTCACCTGATGGCAAAATGATTTAATGAATTTATCAAATAATATAAAGCTGACCAGGACGAGCAGCATTTCTGCCTTTTTGGAAACCAGGAAGTGAAACAGGAGTCTTGGTCATAAAGCTAACTCCTTTCACACCTGATAAAATGATGTTTTAGAACATGGCCGATATTTTCATTAAAAAAATACGTTAAAACAAACGTGATTATTACAGAACATGTTTACACCAATGTTAGTGGTACGTACTGTTAGCTTTAACCTAGCTTAGCTTTATTTTTACAGTCTATGCCACAGACCAGTGGGTGAGGTCACGGTGGTTACGTCCATTATTTTTACAGTCTATGGCTCTGACACATTTTTTTATTGTTTGAAGTTGTGAATTCTGGTCAAGTTTAGACCTGTAAATATAAATCATTTAATAATGTGTCACCCAAGAAACTGACTTTGTGTGTTGAAAAGTTATATAAGAGATTGTTTTTTTTGTAGGATATGATTGGTCCCAGTTCCAGGAATGGATTTAAAACAGAGTCAGCCTACTCTCCACCATTCAATGACAATCAACATGTCAGAAAATATAAATATATAATAAAGATATAGTGTAAGTCATTATGGGGACTACAATATGCAGTTAAAGGTTATTCCACCTCTTCACTTTGTATCAGCAGCTCACTGACTTTATTATGTTGACTGAAACTAATTTATCTGATTCTGTCCGATAATGGAACTGAAGAGTTTCAGGTTCTGACTCTAATGAGCTCAGGGTGAAGAGGTCACGTAAACAATCAGCTGTTTGTTTCTGTTAATCAGCTGATTAAACCAGCAAAGGGACAAAAAGTGTCAGATAAAGAACAAAGGGAATTTCGCCGCATCGTCTCGCGATAATGAGACTTTAAAGTGAGCTGCTTAATGTTAAATAAACAGGTGAGATCAGAGGTTTGTTTACCTGCAGCAGACGCGACGGAGCACTTCCGTGTTTGAGCCCGTTTCCATGGAGACGGAAGAGAACACACACACACACACACACACACACACACACACACACACACACACACACACACACACACACACACAGCAGTTGCTAGTTCTCGTTATCTGTCAGCAGCCGGTGGACACACCCAACAGCTGATGATGGTTGCATTAATTTACACTGTGAAGCGTTCAAGCTCTGTTCAGTAAAAATGAGAACTACTGGGCGAAGGTGAATTATAACGTTCTCATGACGTGTTCAGTGTAATCTTGTAAAATGAAGTTCTTGGTGATAAACTTGAATAAATCAGCTGTTTGAAGGAGAAATGTGTTGAAGTAAAAAGTCTTTTACTTTCATTTTTAAAGATGATTTTCATGTGAAAGAAGGTCGTGTTACAGGTTGTTTTACAAATGTGTGTTGTTGAAATTGTGCTCATTCAAAGGTGTGAAGTGTGGTGAAGGACTGAGTAACTATAAAGCTGCTCATTCATTTTATAGTGAAGATTTCTGTGTTTATTATTTTAAATTTGAATTTCAAAATCACTGCATCCCTAGTTTAATCAGAAAGTTACTTTGTACATTTTTATTATTATTATCTCATACATTATTGTTGTTTTTTCTTGTGAACAAGTTAATTTATAATGATCTTTTATTGATTATTGATTTATATGATTATTATAACACATGAACAAGATGTTACTGAAAGCTAATTAACACATGGGGCGTCAGGGGAAGACTCACATAGGGCACCACATGTTAGGGCCGCACTGCACACACAAATAAAGGTATGTGTCCTATATTTTCCTGGAGCAATTAAACCTGTTTAATAATAAATTTGGATATTTATCACCTCTGGAAAACACATTAACACTTAATCATTTTATCAGCCTATTGATAACTTGATAAAGTCCATCACAATTTCCTAAAGCCAGAGATGATGTTCTCAGCTCCTTTTGAAAACCAACAGTCCAAAAATATCAAATTTTCAATCACTTTTTAGGTGAAAAATAAATTAAATAAATCAATTAAATAGTTTCCTTTGTTTCCAAAAATATTTTTCTGATCATTCCAGCTGTAATTAAATCACTTTTACTGTTAAACATTTAATATAAAACTTATTTCAGTATCCTTGACCTCAATATATGGAAAAATTTTACCTTCACAAATGTGAATTTAATAACGAAGCTTCTATTTTTTTAAGGACTGTGTTGCTGTTCAAAACATTAATATTTGTAAAATAATGTGGGCCAATATCACCTCTTTGTTCACCTTCCTGCTTTATAAAAGATATACTTTTTTATTTTTACATTTTTAATAATTTATCTGCTCTATTTTATTTGTTTCTGTCCCTGTTGTGTTTTACAGTTCCAACATTTGCTGCAGTCACTGATGTTTCCTCCAGCAGGTGGTGACTTTTCTCACTCCAGATTCTTCAGAGAGGCACAGAGACAGAGATTCACACAGCAGAGGCTCTGATTCAGGGAAAAGTCTGTGTTAGTTAAATCTGAGAGGAGGGAAACTCTGAGTTATTGTTTCAGGGTTAAATTTAAATGAGATTTAATGAAATTTGATGAAAATTTCTGGGACAGGACATAAATCCTCTCCACCAGACTCCACGCACAAAACAAAATCATACAATACAGTACCAAAATACACTTAGCTAAATCACATTAGTTCATAATCACAAATCAGCTGTATAATCATACAGAGCAGCCTTTGTTGACCAGAATCTATCCAGCCTGTGTTTAAAAGAGTTAACTGAAGGAGCCCGCACCACATCCTCTAAAAGCTCATTCCATGCCTTTAAAAATGCCTTTGGAAAAGTGTTTTCTCTTTTCAGAAAAACACCTTAGTGGGAATAATTTTAGGGAGCTCCCTCTTAACTCGTACCGACTATACCAAAAGTTTACAACAGGCTCAACTGTGGTATCATATATTCCATGACCAAGCTTATAAACCTCGATCATGTCTCCTCTATGTCTCCTGTACACTAAAGTTGGAAGTTGCAGTTTTCTTAACCTCTCTTCATATGACAACTCTTTGAGACCTGGGACTAATTTAGTAGGTCTCCTCTGAACCTTCTCAATCTTTTCTATACATTTTAATTTCTAAGGACACCAGACTGAGCTTGCAAATTCAAGATGTGATCTCACCAGGGATTTATATAATGGCAAAAATATTTCCCTACACAAATTTTGAAAGGTTCTTCTTATAATCACCAGCATGGAGTTTGCCTTTTTAACTTTTTCTGAAATGTGTGTGGAATTCAAGTGAACTATCGACCACTGCACCTATATCCTTTTCCTCATCGACATGCTGGACCACCAGTTCTCCAATAGTATAATTAATTTTACTGTCGTTAGATTTCCCAGTGTGTAAATGTTTACACTTTTCTGAATATAATTTCAATAACCACTCATCACACCAGTTACTCATGCTATGGAGATCCTCTTGAAGATGGGCTGTGTCGGTGTCCTTAGTAATTATTCTAAACATTTTAGTATCGTCCGCAAAAAGTTACACATCAGATTGTAACATATCTGGTAAATCATTTATATAAACAACAAACAATACAGGCCCCAACACAGATCCCTGTGGAACTCCAGAGGTCACCGGTTTCCAGACAGAAGTGGCACCATTTACCACCACCTGTTGTTTCTTACTACTTTAAAAGCCCTGTATCTAGTCTGTAACTCTGTCATCTATATGATAGGATTTTAGTTTTGACAGAAGTCTTTTATGGGAAACTGTATCAAAAGCTTTTTGGAACAGACTGTCCTCTTTCCAAAGCTGCAGACCACTTGTCAAACTCAGTCATTTTAAGTTCTGATCTCAATTTTAAAGCTCATTTTAATTCATTAACTCAAACTGTATTCTATCATTCACACATATAGCTAAGGTATGACCTCGACTGAGCCAGCGAGACGCTGAGAAGCTTGTTGATGCTTTTGTTTCCAGTCGTCTTAACTACTGTAACACCCTGTACCCCGGCCTACCTAAAACTGACACTGCACTACTGCCGACCGTTCAGAGTGCTGCTGCTGACAGGGTTTTAACACAAACTAAAAACAGAGACCATTTCACTCCTGCTTTATGTAACCATCACTGGCTCCAAGTATCTTTTACAATTGATTTTAAAGTCCCTCTACTGGTTTTTAAGGCTCTTTCTGTCCCTCCAAGAATCCTGAGATCCT